TTGAATTCTCTTAAATTTGTTGACTTAAGTAGTTGATGAAAATCAAAAGAGACAAAGACCTATAGGCTATAGCAACCGGCACACAACCTGCGGGCCACGCTGGTAGACAAATTCAACTAGAGTTTCTCCGTTGACCCCAAAAAAACTTTTTTTTTTGTTAAGCCCAAAAAAAAAAACATCTATCTACGCACACTTTGTCCACTTAACTAATTAATAATATGCATAAAAAGTAATTAATAGTAACACATTATTCATTCTATATTTTCACCATCTAAAAACTCACAAGTAAATCGAGAGACTATTTATTGTTATTTGAACGTGTCTATCCTCGGTTATCACTTTTATTTAAGTATAATAATTTTAAAACTTTTAAAATATTTCAATAGAAAAATAAAAGTAGTATTTTTTTAAAGTTAAATTTTATTTTATTTTATTTTCTAAATTTATTTTAATTCATTTAGTGTTCTAATTTTTATAAATTTTTTAAATTTTTTTTTTAAAGTGTTAACTTTATTAATATTTTTTATTTTTTATTTGATGTATTATTCATATACTATTCATTTTTTTTCTTTGAACTTTTATACATTGTTTATAATTTTTTTATTTACAGTATCAATTTTAACTTTCTCTTCACTTTTTGACGGTAATTATGACAACCTTTTCTTGTTGGTTAGAGGAGGAAGTATATCGTGATTATCCACCAATTTCTAAAATTCAAGCTGCTAATCTTTAACTTTAATCACAAAATTATTGTTTATACAATGCCAAAATTCACCTTATTCTTACAAAATGTGTAAATTATGTCATAATTGATACTTTGAAAAATATATTTCAGCAAAATAGTCTAAATGATAGTAATCCTACATAAAAGGTCTAAATTTTTCCAAAGCGAAAAAAAAAAAAACCTCAAAGTTTTTTAAAATTATGGTTAGAACTAGACCTATTATGTGAGTTGATTTACTTAGACTAATTCCTTTAGTTGAGCATGTTGGCTTGAAAAGGAAAAAGATGTAAAATTGAAGTTTTAAAAAATAAGATGATAAATATTACACAGAAGTCTATTCAAAAGACGATAAATATTGCACAAATAATATGCGTGATAGAAAAAGATAAAAAAATATTAATAAAGTTAATATTTAAAAAATGAATTATTTAAAATATTTGTAAATATTACATGACTAAAATGAATTAAAATTAAATTTAATGAAAATTAAATTTAATCATTGAGTTGAAAGACAAAAACACTAATTTTATCTAATATATTTTTTAAAATTATTAAATTGATTAAAAAATAATAAGTATTATTGATAAGATATTTAAATAAAAATAATAATAACCACTTAATATAAAAGTTATATTTTCAAAAGAATCTACCTTAGTGGATGAAAGATGACCCTTATATACAACAAATAAGGTTGTTTAGTGTAGAACAAATTCAATTAAAGTTCAGTTTAAATATACTTAAAAAAATGAAATAGTAAAACAAAACATATATTTTATAAATAAAAATCAACTTATGTTTTTTTATAAATTAAAATAAATATTTTGTATGTTTATTGTTTTTCTGTATAAAGATTTATCTAAATTTAGCATAAGTTTGAGAAAGTTAAGTAAAAAAATAAAAATAAAAAACAATTCTACTCAAATTGAGTTAAAAACCAACTTTAAAAAAATGATATTTTGCATACAAAAAATTATTCTTCTATACTTATTTTGGAATTTCCTTTCATATGTAAAAATATTATGATTGTCAGTTGATTGAAAATATATTCAGAATTTAGGTGTAAATTTTGATATTTGGCATATTTTAACGACCATATGTATTTTTTATTTTTTATTTTTTTACGTTTAAAGTAAGATATTTGTTAGTATTGCTTTTAATTTTGGAAATTATAATATAATATAATCATCAAGATGTTGGTGTTATATACGGTGACCAATAAAATGTAATGTTTTCATAGAAGGAAATTGAGCAGCGTTATTGGTTAGCTATATAACTACTCCTTTATTAGATTTGGGTCTTCAATTTAGTTGGTAAGACTTTTGTTGAAATGCTACCTTTTGATAGCAGAAATTGTTATACATAATTTATTCTTGTTAGTTTAGAAAAATATTAGTTTTGTTTTTGGTCGCCTACTTAGCACATTAATCTTTAACTTTACTAATGAAAACTATTTATATTAAATACACGTTTTTTAATAGTTCAGACCTTCCAAAATAACAAATAATAAGAAATTATTTTCAATTGAAAGATATTTTTTGTCACGGTATTATCTTTGCTTTTAAGGTTTAAGACGCCCTCTTAGCAACTTAATCTCAAAGTTCACGAAGTTGTATTAATGTTTCGGCGAAGAGCCTAACATTAAATATCAGTGTCATCCTAAACTTTTGATTGTCCGAAAGTAACTTTTCTTCACAGATGAAATTAGCGCTTCAGTTTTTTTGAAGTCATTTAATATGTCTTTAATTCCATAAATAATTGGCTAGTGAACTACCTTAATCAAACTATAATGATTTTTGTTACCTGAATATACATTAACCATGCAAGACAAATACACAATTTTTTTAGTTCTTATTTAAGAGACGTCATAGAGTAATTCCACGCTGAGATATAACCAATATCGACACAACATGAGTTATGCACGGGTTGTGTGAACCCGGTTGGGCTGCATGGTAAAATACAAATCGATATATTAAAAATTAAGTATAAAATAATTAAAATAGATTACTTTGAAATCAAAATGTTTTTATTTCATGATTGATAAACTCACTTAGCCTATTTTCTCAGCACATTTTGGGTATTACTTTACAAATAAAATTTTAGTCTAATTTTTCAACTTACATATATACATGAGTGATGATACTGGATAGTAAGTGTCAAATTTGAATTTTTTTTAATAATTTTTTATAAATAAAACATTAATTACAAATTAATTTTATAAAGTTTTATACAAAATATATAATTAATTTATTAAATTATTTTATTTTAACATATAATGTATATATTTGAAATTTTAAATAATATATTTAAAAATGTTTAAATTATGTGAAATTTAATATATATATATATATATATATAAGTATGAAAATAATATAATTTGATTTAAGATCTGAATTGATTATTTCTAATTTTATATAAAATATTAAAATATATAATTTACAATTATACATGCGCTGATCATCAAGTTTTATAAACTGTACGGACAAACGTTGTGGTGGGCTAAAGTGGGGCTTGGCCTATGATGATTGATAATTTAGGAGCTGTTTGTTTTTAAAAGACAATTTTTTATTATAAAATTATCATTTTAATTTTATGTTATGAAAATTTAAAATAAATAGACCCGTATATTCAAATAAAATTAATTTTTAAAATATTATTCTTGGACAATTGTTTTACATTAATTATTTTATTAAATCTTAAACAAGCCAGTCATAAATTGATTCAATTAATTTTTAAATTCCTGATGGATACCAAACAAGAGTAAATTTTTTTGGTCAAATAATTATAATAATCGTCTTTTATATATGATTTATAATAATTAATTCTTAAACAGAAAAAAATTTTAAATATTAATTTTATGTCATTGCAAATATTTTTTATATTATATATTTTCAATTTAATGTAAATATGTTTGAATTTTTATAATTTATTTTTAAATATTTAATATAATAGAAATATTTATTATTAATAATTAAAAAATTTATGAACTTTAAAAATAGTCATATAATATATTTAATTAAGTATTTTAAAGGCTTAATTTAATTTTAAAAAATATTTTCATATTTGTATAAATTTAAAAAAAATTACATTCAATTTACATCTAATAATTAATAAAATAATAAATTATAATTTATTTATGTAAATTAAATAAAAATTTAGATTAAATGTAAAAAAATTTAGATTTATTGTGAGAAAATTTTATCTTTTAAAAAAATTAATTACTTTAAGAAAGATGAAGAATTATGATAATGAAATAACACAATAAAGCTTGGAGAAAGAGCACGATGTGCTGATGTCAAATCACATAAAGCAAACTATGATTTAACTCAGGCAACCCTTGGCTGTCGTTAAGTCGTGACCCTGTTGCGCATCTTAAATTCTCAGTGGCTCCCGCAGGGATGTTACCCTTTGCATCATGCTCCACTAATATATAATATAATATTATTTTTTGATTGGGTTGGGGAAATGCTATAGATCAGATAAGAATGATACCCGATGATATTTTATTTTATTTTTTCAATGAAATTTAATAAATTTATTTGATATTTATTATTAAAATTAATTGGAGTCACAAATAATTCAATATTACTTAAATAAAACGAAAAACTAAAAAAAATAATATTATTTTTTATTTTTACAAAAAAATAATTTTATTTGCCTATAAATATATATATTTTTTAACGATCATTTGTTAAAATTATAGCACAATAACTAATAAACATGTGCTTTTAAATAAAAATGTTATAAAAAATTAAAATTTATTATCTTTTTCATTATCCAAAAATTAAATTAAATTTTATTCCACGATTTAATGAAATTTTTACTTGAGTATAATCAATTCCACCCCATTTCATTTCATCTCACTTGGTTTCCTTCAAAGTTATGCCAAGTGTACCGCTGCTCTTGATCATAGTGCTGAATTTTAGGGAGAACTTGTTATTATTTTGTTTTCTGAATAATTGATTCTTATAGAATAGATAGAAAGGCCAAGGATAATTTATACACACATTTGTTATCCACGAATTCCTTCCACGAGAGAAGGACAATGATTCCCGAACTTTCAATTTCAACACAAAAGTACAAAGCTGCAAACAAAGCAACCAACAAATCCCCACCAATATCATCAACATTCTTCTCCCAGTTCACTTCGTCCATATCATCAGCCTCGTATGTATATCTCTTCTTTTTTTGCAAATTACATCTCTATTCATATTTCATACCCATGCTAAAACTCATTTTAAAATCACATTCACTTCTTGAAACGCTCATCCTTTTTTTTGTTCTAACATTTTTGCGTTTTAAATAATTAAACAAAAAAGTTACAACAAAAATAGATATAATCTGTCTGCTATATTAAAATAGCAGAAAGCGTTTAATTAAAATCCAAGGGTTAATATGGTAATGAAACTTCAACTTTCAACTTTGAACCCGTTCACGCTTGTTTCATGCAAAATTTCCGCTTCTCCGACACCACCGCCCTCTGCAGATCCTCCATGCACACATCGCCGCCACAAACCACCATCCTCGTGCCGTCGTTAACGACGACGTTCTCCACACTCCTCCAATCGCAACGAACCCCATCCACAACCTCACACACCACCACCACCTCCGGTTCCGACGTATTCCTCACGTACACAAAATTCCCAATCCAAGTCACCTCTACCGAACCTAATTCCGAACCTCCCATCAGCTTCTGCACCATCTCCTTCGGCATCTCATCCACTTCCTCCATCCCCGAACCTAATTCTCCTCTCATAACCCACAACTTCACCCCTTTCACGTTATCCGCTTCCCCCACCACCCCAGCCACCATCAACCTCTCCCCTAGGGTCCCAGTGACGCAGTAACTAACACTCTGATCGGGTCTCAGATTGAACGGTCCCTTCCATGTTCCCGTTACAGTGTCGAATGAGTACGTCACGCCGGAGTGTTTCTCCGTCACGTGCATCGTTTTTCCGGTGACCGCTACCGACAACCACGTCGACGCCGTCGAGCCTTTCAGCAGCGCCGGCATGGATTGACAAACCACCCAAGCGCGGCTCTCCGTGTCGTACATCTCCACCGCCATCGGGTCGTCCTCGAACTCCCACGCGCCGCCGGCAACAACCACGCGCTTGCCCACGCGCGCAACGATGGGATCGACGCGCCACACGCGAGGGGCGGGCGCGTGGTGCCAGTCGAGGTGAAGCGCGTCGGTGGAGAAAGTGAACCCGGCAGGGGAGAGCGTGTAGAGCAGCGTGGAGTGAGATGATCGAACGGGAGAAGCGTGACGCGCGTTGTACTTGATCTCCAACCACGCGTGGGAGCGGGGGTCGTAGGCATGCGCGGTTGTCACGTGCGAGGCGCGGGTGCTCTGAGTGAGGATTATAAGCCATGGCTTGATGGGTCTGACATGGGCTATGGAGGAGAACACCGCACGGTTCCAGGCCTTTGACACGTGACAGGCGGGGACCAAGTGAATGAGTGGCACGTGTGATAATATGGCCTCTAAGATGTCCCCGTGGATGGGTGCTTCTTCTGGTGCCATTGGATATGTTTACGAACAGAACCTGCGTGTTTCAGTGGCTTTTGTGTTCTTTTTTGTTAGTGAGTACAATGAGAGGAAAACTAGGATTTGTGGAGTTTATATAGATGGTGGAAAAGAGATTTGAAAAAATAGGTCCCACAACTGTCCAATGAATGAGTGCCACCTCATTAGCATCAGTGTGTGATTTGGTAGTTGATTGCAACTTCTCATCTCAAATTAATTTCGTGTTAATCCGTTTGAGAAATGTTATTTTAACACCAAAACAGGTGTTTGTACTAGAGATCCAGTATTTTTAGGTGATAAAATATTTTTTATTTGTATTATTTATATTCTTTTATACATAAAAATATTTTAATACTACAAAATATTAAGTGTAAGATATAAATGCCTATTTTGAGTTAAATCATAACTGCTTTTATATCTTTGATTTTTCACTGGCAAATCCATTTCCAAACTGTGAACATAGTAGTATCTTGACACGTACGGGGTTACTCTAAGTGAGTTTTTGTGAATGAAAAATGATTTTTTTGGGGTAATTTTAGCTGTATTCTAGAAGAACAAAATTAGAAACCAACTTTCAATTTCTTTTGAAAAAGATGGCCATACTTACACTATTGGAGGTCGGTGATTTTGTAATAATCATGAATTTGTCGAAAATAGCAGGCATTGATTGAGCCATTAACTTACTTTTAATTTGACGCACCAAGAGCTGTCGATACTTGTTAATGCTTCAACGGTAATTAGATTCTAATTTACTTAAATTTGTATAATTTAGATCACACTCAATTATGGAAGCGCTACGATGATGTTAGTAGAATTTCAGTAATAGGGTGATAATTATGCGGCAATAACAGCGATGGACCGATGGTATAGATAGCAACAATAAATTATTGCGTCTTAAGCTGCCGCCACCACCCCGACGAAGACGGTGGGAAGCGTGGTGTTCCTTTTTAAAAAATATAATTATTTAACATTTTTAATAGCTATAGTGAAACACTTCTGTATTTTTTTAAATAATCACTTAAGTATATTTTTATGCATCATACTTTAATATATATTTTTAATCATTTATAGTAAATTTTTATTTATTAAAATCAAGTCTTTTTATCAAAATTATATCTAATAATTAATAAAAGTGTAATAGAGGCGTATAAAATATTTAAATAAAACAGTAAATAATATGAATAAAATATAATAAATTCATTTATATAATTTAATGATACGTTACATATTTATTATATTTATTTTTATTATTAGATAAATTTTAGAGTAGGATCTTATTTAAATAACGAGAATAAAATGTGATCAATTAAAATTTAAGTTACGCATGAGTAAAATGATTCAAGCAGCAAATAATTAATAAAATTAAAACAGTCATATAAAATACTTATAATTCAAACAATAAAATTGTTATAGTAATTATGAATTTGTGGACTATGATTAAGGATAAAAATAATTTAGACAACTTGCTAGAGACACGCGATCTAGTTAGTTGGTATTTGCAACAAGTTATGTCATGTGTACTTTTGATCTGTGCATTTGTTACGAGGTTAACCAGAAGGATTAGATTTAAGTTGGATATGTGCAGAAGGTTTATTTAAATTTATTCGATAAGATGTACGGTTTAAATATTAAAATTTTAGTACACTCAAACTTTTTAAATTCAATCCTGAATTAAAGTTTATGAGTTTTAATTAGATTTAGACATTTTTAATTTAAAAATGTGGGATAATTTTAGTCTGTAAAAAACACTAAAATAAAAACTTTAAACAGGAGAAAAGTGGGAGGAGGGACCACGGATTTTTTAGTTTATTATATTATTAAATAACTTTATATAATATCAAAAATTGCAAAAAATAAGTAATAAATATGATAATACAATTTGAAAAAATAATTATATAAAGGGTGAAAGAAAAAATAATTTAAAAACGGTATTATGCTATCCAAGAGTGTGTGGCACCTGATTAATGTCAAAATGTGAATTAGTGACATATTGGAACCTGCACCCATGTCAATTCATGTTTAATTAAAGTATTTATATTTGTACCCACTCATGTATTCATACCAGTGCAGTTCGTAAAAGCAGTCCTAATCTTAGCTATTTTTACTCCTAATAGCAATTAAATGGATGTAATAGAATTACAACTTACTTCATAAAAAACATAATATCACCATTTTAAAGTGAAAATTAAATTACTACATGTGGTAGTTCCTATGCATAACTTTTTAAAATATATTTATATTTTAAATTTTTTTTGTTAATCTTAATTTTTAGGATTAAATTTAAATATTCATAAATAATATTTTTTAATAAAATTTTTGTATTATTAGCTGCTTATCTTCAATTTAAAAAAAAAATAAAGTTAACAAAAACTCTTTAAAAAATAGAAAATCTCGAAGATAACAAGACGTTTTCCTCACAGCCAAGAAACTAAACTTGAATAATGGCAATAAGAATGTGCCGCAAGAGACTAAAGCGCAAAATTTTCAGTTATTCATACTAAATTCTTAGTGGCACGCATTAAACACATAATAACTGCACTGCTTTAATGGTGTGTGAGGGTAGTATTAACTGTCTTGTATTTTTGATAGGCTAAGGAACAAGGGAAGTGTGACTTCCATGAGTAGAAATTTTGCTATTGAATTTAAAAAAACTACCCGTTTGAGACATTAATTAAGATACCAGCAAATGATTTAAAAGCATATTATATGATCTTGGTATTCATGCACCTGTTGCAAATTTTTTATTATTATTACACTAATTATTATATCTTTCATTTTTTTTTCTATTTTCTTCTTACTTTTTACTTTGGTGCATACCCCTAAAGAGTGTACAATAATTATTATTCATTCCGTTTATATCAATCTGTTTGTTATTATTGTATCAATATTCAAAACGAGTCTACCTGGCTAATCTAATCGTCCATTCATAAAGCACTGAATCATTGTGGGGGACCCTACCTGCTATACATTGATAAAACTATAAAAAGTGAATTACCAAGGAATAATAATAACAATTATTATTATTATATATTTGTAAATATTAATTAAATCATTAAAATATTTTTTAATTTATTAAGTTGTCAAAAAAGAAGTAAGAATGAAGCACAGTCATTTATCTGAAATATAGATAGTGAAATTAGAAAAAGCACATAAGCACCCAGAAATATAAAAATGTATACTAAAACTGGTAATAGTATGAGTGTATGTTTTTTCTTTTTTCATAACATGAGTATAGAAACATACACTGTTTTAAAACTTTATTCATGATCAGGAATTGAAATTGTTTTTATTGAAACTAACTTATTCATGATATGATATATGAGCTTGAAAGCATAGATCTTCAATTCCATTCTTCTTGTATCCACTTGTGTTGATTTTGGTATGGTTTTGGTCCTCCATACTTAACGTGCACTTCAGTTGTATAACTGGGATTGGCTAGACGGATTTGTTTTAGACGAGTTAATCTTTGCACTGTTTTTCAGATCGACCTGGTCAAGTTTGGATTGAACTGAAGTAGACAAATTAACGGTGGCTATGAGTTTTTCCATTATTATTATTTAAACTATATGTAATAATAGTGTTATTTTTTTATTAGGATTAAAATTGTATATAAATATCTTGAATAATAAGTGTAAGCATATTGCCATTAAAAGTTAACACGTCTTGTAAAGAAAAATTTTAATTTTAATTAAAAAACACCAATAGTATTACAGTTAAATATTTATTCCTTTAATTAATTTTCTAATTTTACTTCAACCAGATTGATCTCCACTATGCCATACAATAATGGAGAAAAAACACGTAACTCATTTTTTTAAAAGAAAATTTGTGTTAAGATCCTGAACTTCAAAACATTTCCCAAATGTTTTCATGGATTTTAGATTAATCTCAATTAGTTTACACATTTACACACGCACACACAATGAATTTCATTATTTTGTTAATTAATTGATAAAGCTTATGAACAGTAGAATGTATGTAGACATGTTTATTCACATTTTTTTTTCTTTTACTTTTTCATTTTATCATTGTTTAAAATTTTTAATTGAAGTAGTTTTTATTTTATTCTTTTCACATATGGGTAAAATTATTGATATTTGAATATACATATTCACAAAAAAAATTTTGGACATTTACAATTATGTTATTTTTAACAATAACCAAAATCATTCGAATTTACTAGTTTATACATCATACATAATACTAAAAATGGTAAAAGATTAAATAAATAAATACAGTTTTTATTTCTATTTGAAAAATTAAAAAGTAAAGATAATTGTGGTAATATAATTAAAACATAAAACGGTTATATTTAAAAATAAATAAATTTAAATTAACGATATCTTTTTTTTACTTTACACAACTTCTTATTATAAAAGAACTAAATTTAAGTAAAAGGTAAAGTTATTACTTATAAATATATGTCTAAAACCACAAAGAAAAACGTATATAATCATGTGATATATAATCATGTGATATAAAAACGTATCATTTAAAATTTAAGGATCAAAACTTGCATTATTTGTATTAAAAAAAAATATGAAACTTCGAATTAAAAATTTTCTAAGACAATTTTATACAAAAAATATTTTATCAGAATAATTATTTATCAAATAGATGCTTGGTTTTTCCACAAAACCGTCTGCGCGTAGGGACACATACAACGACTTACAGAAATGAACAATGATTGATAGAAAGGAACCGACTCCAGTGGAGTGGGGAACATCAGTATTATTCATACAACAAGGAAATTTTTAATTTTAAATCTTAAAGTTAATTTTAATTAATTTAAAATATTTTTTAAAATATATTTATCATGTTAAATATATAATAGATATTATTTTCAAAAACTTCAAATTAGTTTTAAAATTTAAAATTAACAAAACTGTTTATACAATTTTGTTTTGTGTAATCATTATTTGATGGAAATGTTAGCAGCATCCTAAAATTAAAAATTAAATGTAAAAAACTGAAAATAAAAAATTATTAATATATTTTTATTATATTTTCTAATTTATTAACATTCTAACTAATATATTTTCTTATGAATAAAATATATGATTCGTGGATGTTAATTTTTATATTATTTTATATGTTTTTTTTATATATATAAAAGATGTAATTTTGAGAATTTTTGTGTCACCATAGTTTTATAGTTGAATAAAATAGCAGATAATATTTTTATATCTTTCTCTTTTATATAATCTTTTTATTTTAT